TAAAGTGGGATAGTCCATTGCTTGGGCTGTGATTGGCTGCTGGTACCTGAGTAGAGATATTTCTATATAAATACCAACTTGATTCATCAGTTAGTTTGCAGGGTTTGTATTAAGTTACAACCTGCTTTATTTTTGTCTGCCAGCTGGACGCTAGCTGGGACCTTTACGCCGGTAAGAGCTGTTTATTATTGTTATTCTACAGGGGGTTTTGTAATTTCTTTTCCGTGTCTGGTTTTAGGGTGTGTTTTATAAGTTCATCAGTATGATGCTCACTTACGTGTTCATATCCAGAGCCATCTGTGTGACCAAGATGCGATGAATCAAATATCTCTTCATTGTAGGAAAACAACGAAAGAAATTAGCAAAAACTGATTTCCTCAGTGTTTTTAATCAAATGTTGAGTTTGGTTTTCTAACTTCTTGAACCGTTTGTCTGAGATGAAATGTGTAAAATCGGTTTCACGTTGACGGCTGACCTGAGATGGAACAAATACATTGAGTCAATTGCTTCGTCCACCGCGAGGAAAGTTGGCTCTCTGTGCCGCACCAGGAAATTTTTCTCCCCGGAGTCGATCCTCCAGATCTACAAATCAACAATTCGCCCTTGCATGGAGTATTGCTGCCATATATGCTCTGGAGCCCCTTCTGTTTGCCTCGGGGTTCTTGATAAGCTCCAGAGGCGGATATGAAATATAATTGGCCCTGCTCTGGCATCTCGTCTACAGTCACTTTCTCACAGACGCGCTGTCGCCTCTCTCTGTCTGTTTTACAAATACTTTCATGGCAATTGCTCCGAGGAGCTGCATTCGCTGGTTCCCAGACTTCATGAGTTCAAGCGCCCTACGAGGCTGGCATCCCGCTCTCACCCCTTCACTGTCGAAACTCCTAAATGTAGCCTTCTCTTCTACTCCAATAGCTTCATGTCTCGCACCTCTCACCTGTGGAACTCCCTTCCCTATTCCAGTTTCCCTGAGAGCTATAATCTCCAGCTATTCAAATGTAATGTCAATCGACATCTCCAGTTGCCTTGATCTATCCACTACCCTTCTCCTCATCCTTTCATCTATCATTCCTATCTGATCTTGTTCTAAATTTTCTGTAACCCCTTGCGTCCTAGTGGCTTCTCGCCTTGCTTGGGATGAAACGCTTAAAAAAAAAATGGAGAATAATAGCAAATCAGTTACGCATAAATATCCTCGAAAAAGGCATGAACGCACTTCCCAAACAGCTAGGGTTTGAATGGCAGAATAGATTAGACCCTATAGTTTTGGTTGTCTATATCTAAAAGACGCAGTAAACGCTTGCGGGGAAATCTCTTGCAAGTCAGAACGACACGTGATCAAGAGTGTATCACGTATGGCACTTAAATAACTGATTTTCATAAAATAAAATGCTTCAATTATTGTCTGTTTCCGGATGACCTCGTGAATGTTTTTGCCGTTAATTCTTGAAGCTATTTTAAATTAGATGCACAGGGTGCGATGGATAAAAAAAGAAAGTAACACCAACATCTCATTTTAACAGATATATTTACACATTATGAGATGGACAAAGTCCGACAATTATTTTAAGACATTTTTTATGTTTATACAGTCTTTTTATGGATACACTTAATTAAGTAAATCTTCTGTTTCATAATAAACAGTATTAATAACATTTACGGGCCTGAATATCCGAGAACTTTTCACAGAAAATATTCGTCCTCTGAGATGAACCGAACCTGTTTGACAGTTGCAATATTCTCTGGATCATGATATCGAATTGTTGTCGTCCTGGGTAAGACGATAAACTGCATCCGCGTCCTGGGTAAGACGATAAACAACATCCGCGTCCTGGGCAAGACGATAAACTACATCCGCGTCCTGGGCAAGACGATAAACTGCATCCGCGTACTGGGTAAGACGATAAACTACATCCGCGTCCTGGGCAAGACGATAAACTGCATCCGCGTACTGGGTAAGATGATAAACTGCATCCGCGTCCTGGGCAAGACGATAAACTGCATCCGCGTCCTGGGTATGACGATAAACTACATCCGCGTCCTGGGCAAGACGATAAACTGCATCCGCGTCCTGGGCAAGACGATAAACTACATCCGCGTCCTGGGCAAGACGATAAACTACATCCGCGTCCTGGGTAAGATGAAAACGCATCCGCGTCCTGGGCAAGACGATAAAAATAGAATATCGATTTTTACATCCGCGTCCTGGGCAAAACGAAAAATTTTTGAAAATATCTATTTCTAATAATGTAATTTGGAAAAAAAAAATTATTACCAGCAATACATTTTTGAAAAAAATATTACAAGCAATACGTTTTTGAAGAAAAAATTTTTTATTACCAGCAATACATTTTTTTAAAAAAAATATTACTAGCAATACATTTTTGCAAAAAAAGATTTATTACCAGCAATACGTTTTTGAAGAAAAAATATTACAAGCAATACATTTTTGGTAAAACATTAGGAGCAATACATTTTTGAAAAAATATTACAAGCAATGAAAATCTTGTCGGCATGAAATAACCCATTGAGGTATTGATATGCCGGAAAGTAAACGAAACAAAGCAATCGAATTGTTGGTTATAGAATTTATTATCCCTTTTATCTTCCAACCAATTAACTGCGTATATTTCAATTATAAATTTTATAAGGCCGTGTTATAAGCTTTTCTTTGATCACTTGGATGACGTTCCGAAACTCGACCAAAACATAATTAAAAATAGTTTCTACGAAATACGGTAACAATTCAAAAAGAAAAAAAAAAGAAAAAAACAGAAGCTATTTATCATGTAATACACAAACTCTCAAATTGAGTGCAAGACCACGGTTCCAAAAATCGACCTGTTCTAGTGGACTTTTGTAAGAATTAAAAGCAGGAATTTTCATCGTATCTCCGGTTACACTTTCAGTGCCAATAAACTTTAAAATAACCATGCAGTCTGTTAGTGATTCTTAGCGTTTACCAAAATAATAACCCCTTTTTCGATTTTGCTCTTAGGTTTAGTATTTGAAAATAGCCAGCAAGAATAAAAATGGCCGACGGTTAATAACATGGCGTGGCCGAGTCTAGAAAATTAATAAATACATATCATCGCTGTCGGCAGAAGTGCGCTCTTTTATTGACACCAGCAATTCATGTGAAACTAAAGATATTTACATTGGTTGTTTGTGTATTCAGGAAAGAGAGATCGAGATAAATAGGAGAACCCTCAGGCCAGGTTGTAATCATTATTTGAGACAGAGTTTCAGAGATCTGATATAAATAAGTAAGAACTTTCCTACAGCAATGACCCGAAAATAATGGCAAAATAAAAAATATAGGAAGCATCTCTAAGTCTGAGAGGAGTTGATTGGCATCGCATTCTGGTTGCAGATTGTAATTCTCTGTTACTTAAAAGCCACCTGCATCCGTTCAGTCGAAATATTTAAGAGAATTTTACGCATAATTGCTAGATTTATACAATCTAATAGACTACTTCGATTCTATACTTCTGAAGTCTCCGCCAAACATTTGGAATTCGCTATTTATCTATTTATTTTAATTTTTTTTAAAAATTTTCCTCAATAAGAGTATACAGCATCACATATCATCCAGTTCACACATTTGAACGGGAGTAGTTTGTTCTTGTTTGCTTCTTAGGATTGGGTTTCCGGTTCCTTCTAAAGTCTACAACAACTTTATACTTCTAACGTTTCCTCCCCGGTCTTTTGAACAGGAGTAGAGATTTATCTCTTGTTTCCTGTTTAGGATTGGGTTTCCGGTTCCTTCTAAAGTCTACTTTAACTCTATACTTCTAACATCTCCTCCCCCGACTTTTGAACAGGAGTAGAGATTTATCTCTTTTTTGTTTTTTTTTAGGATTGGGTTTCCGGTTCCTTCTAAAGTCTACATCAACTTTATACTTCTAACATCTCCTCCCCGGTCTTTTGAACAGGAGTAGATATTAATCTCTTGTTTCCTGTTTAGGATTGGGTTTCCGGTTCCTTCTAAAGTCTACATCAACTTTATACTTCTAACATCTCCTCACCCGATTTTTGAACAGGAGTAGAGATTTATCTCTTGTTTCCTGTTTAGGATTGGGTTTCCGGTTCCTTCTAAAGTCTACTTTAACTCTATACTTTTAACATCTCCTCCCCCGACTTTTGAACAGGAGTAGAGATTTCATCTTGTTTCCTTTTTAGGATTGGGTTTCGGTTCCTTCTAAAGTCTACTTCAACTCTACTTTTAACATCTCCTCCCCTGGTCTTTCTTTTGAACAGGAGTAGTTCCTAAAAATATTAATCTCTTTGTTTCCTGTTTAGGATTGGGTTTCCGGTTCCTTCTAAAGTCTACTTTAACTCTATACTTTTAACATCTCCTCCCCCGACTTTTGAACAGGAGTAGAGATTTATCTCTTGTTTCCTTTTTAGGATTGGGTTTCCGGTTCCTTCTAAAGTCTACTTCAACTCTACTTTTAACATCTCCTCCCCGGTCTTTTGAACAGGAGTAGATATTAATCTCTTGTTTCCTGTTTAGGATTGGGTTTCCGGTTCCTTCTAAAGTCTACTTTAACTCTATACTTTTAACATCTCCTCCCCCGACTTTTGAACAGGAGTAGAGATTTATCTCTTTCCTTTTTTAGAATTGGGTTTTCGGTTCCTTCTAAAGTCTACTTCAACTCTACTTTTAACATCTCCTCCCCGGTCTTTTGAACAGGAGTAGATATTAATCTCTTGTTTCCTGTTTAGGATTGGGTTTCCGGTTCCTTCTAAAGTCTACAACAACTTTATACTTCTAACGTCTCCTCCCCAGAATTTTGAACAGGAGTAGAGATTCATCTCTTGTTTCCTTTTTAGGAATGGGTTTCCGGTTCCTTCTAAAGTCTACTTCAACTCTGTACTTCAAAGTTTGAACATGAATAGAACCTTATGCATTCTATTTGGATGTTACGGGCGAAAAAAGGTTAAAAAACGTCCTACTGGTTTCGAAGTATGGAACCATAATTTCAATATCTAACTATATGCTTTGCTTTGCCTTCTTCTTCTTCTTCTTCTTCTTCTTCTTCTTCTTCTTTTTCTTCTTCTTCTTCTTCTTCTTCTTCTCCGCCGCCTCCTTCTTCCCTCGCCTCCTCCTCCTGATCCTTTATCTTCCACTCCTCCTGCATCTTCTTTTTTCTTCTTTTCCTCCCCCTTCTTCTTCGCCAACTGCTCCTTCCCCTTCTTTTTCTTCTTCTTCCACCTCCTCCAACTCCTTCTTCCGCCATCTCCTCCTCCCTCTTCTTACTCTTCCTCCGTTTCCTCCCCTTCTTTTTCTTCTTCCCTCCACCTTCTTCTTTTCCATTTTTTTCTTCTTCCTCGCCTCCTCCTCCTTTTCCCCCACGTCGTCCTCCTCCTTGTTTTCCTTCTTCTTCCGCTTCTCCCCTTCCTCCTCCTCCTCCTTTTTCTTTTTCTTTTTCTTCTTCCCCTCCTCCAGCTACTTCTCCGTCCCCTCCTTCTTCTTCTTTTTTCTTCTTCTTCCTCCACCACATCCTCCTCCTTCTCACTCCTCCTCCTCCATCTTCTGCTTCTTCCTCCATCTTCCTCCCCTTTCTTCCCCAGCCTCCTACTCCCCCTCCTTGTTCTCCTCCTTCTTCCCTTCCTCCTTCTTCTTCCCCTCCTCCTCTTCCTTCTTCTTTTTTCTTCTTCCACCTCTATCCTACTCCTTCTTCACTCCTCCTCCTCCTCCTCCTCTTCTTCTTCTTCTTCTTCTTCTATGTGGAGTGTCCATTCAAGACTTAGGCTCACGATAATTTCCTTATGTTTGTTGACTTTAGTAAAGTTATTTTTCGCTGTATGTCTTAATCTCTAACAACGTTTCTCTTACGATAACCGAAGTTAAGCAACGTCGAGCCTGATCAGTTTGTAGCTGACTGACCGTTTGGAAATAACAGATACTGTAAACTTTGATGTGCGGGTGGTGTGATGAATGACGGCTCAGAAAAGAAATCGGAGTGCCTAGTTCCAATTCCAGTCGCGTTTGTTATATTAACTTACGCGCAAATACACTTGGCAAAGGCATGAATCCACCTCATCTCCCCTCAGTAATGGATTAAATACCAAATGGCTGGTTTAACGAGGATATTTCTTTTGAATGATAGAACATATTCATGGCTTTTATTAGTTGATGAATACGGTTAATGAATAATTAATTAACGGCTGATGATGGCGACAGATATGGAACTTGAAGAAACGTTTTTACTGCGTATTCTAGATCGTGTTATAAAGTGTATACCGGAGTTGCCTGATTATCCGTGTCTTGATTTTTTCCCCATCTCGATTATCAGGAAGGTGAAATGATGCGGAAAATTGAAATCATCCAAACATTTTTCAATTAGCCCGAACGAAACCATAGCGGAAAATGTAGATCATAATGAGGTGGGCCATATTGAAATTCAAAAGCCTTGGTGCACAATTTCAAACACCGAAGCAATGATTGCAATTAAGTTGTTTACAATATTTACAAATACATCTGCTTTAATCCAGCTTAGAGGGTTAGCGGCGGATTAACACCGGCTAGTCGGAGATGCAATTTTCATCAAAAGATAATCCGAAGAAAACCTTGAACAAAGCATTCGAAAACGTTATTTGTTTCTATAAAAATTAAATTTCCTTGAGAAAATGACTTCATTTTTTTTGGATTTTTCATCAAAAAATAAACTGGACAAACATTGAAAAAATCGTTTAAAAACGTTATTTGTTGCTATAAAAATTAAATCTCTTTCAGAAAATGAATTTTTCTTCATTTTTTTATAACTAGTGAATTATTATATTATTATATATATATATATATATATATATATATATATATATGTATATATATATATATATATATATATAAAGTTAGAATGGCGATCAACGTGTTTTAGTGGACTCAATGGACTTTTAATCTGCTTGTCTGAATCAGCTTCAAAAAGCGAGAGCAAGATCTAAAAGGTCAGCCAATCTAACAGTGCTCTCATCTCACAATCCTCACACTTGCTCCATATGTGGCCTCCTTTGTAAATCACCAGCGGGTCTTAAGTGCCACAATTATCGCACAAAATCTCATAACTGAATCAAGTAAGCTGTCAGATCCTCATAGGTCGAAACCGACAGGAGAATCCATTATATATATATATATATATATATATATATATATATATATATATATATATATATATACCGGATGTAATAGCATAATTTTTCATTTCATAAAATGTTTAATAACTAAAAAAACACTAAACTAATTCAGTTTCTTTTTCGCAGGACTTCAGATAAGATATTTACCCATCTTGACACCATTTGTCGTAAGAATCACTGAAGAACTCTTTGTGACAACAGGGACAGGGGAAAACAAAGCATAACCTATTCAGTGAGCTTCAGTAAATGGATGGCGGAATAGCGTTTAGGAAATATAACAAAAAGACAAAACTTATTAAGCGTTACCAGGAAAAGGAAGATGTGGAGGATCATGATCGCCTACGTTCTGAAGGGACACAGCACGCAAAAAAGATGAAGAATCTGTTTCTTTTTCACATATTCTTTCACACTCAGTAGCTTCTTTGCGTCTCAGTGGCTTTATTGCCTTCATTGGGTTAAATGATTAAGAAAACATCTACACATTCACTGGAGTCAGGAATATAAATTTTGCTTATTCCTAGCTATCGTTAATTTTTGTACTATAAAAAAAATCATATATATATATATATATATATATATATATATATAATTATTTATTATTTTGATTGGTCATTTCAGTTCATGTAACAGCATTTCCCCTTAGGAGGGGTGGTTAATTAATTTAAACTTTTTAAAACCTTTATTCTACAATCTACATTCAACATCATCATTTAATAAGACACCAGAAGTTTTGAAACAAAATGGCTATTTTTGTAGTGATTTTATAACATATTTATGTGATAATTTTTAAATAAATAATTATATTCGCTTTACTCTGTATTGAGCACTCTTTTAAGAATAGTAATTGTTGGTTATTGGAATTTATTCCGTATGCACCAATCATTTACTTGTATATATTTTATTACTATTGTTTACTCAATACAAGGCCCAAGAATCCCTCAAGATAGAAGATACGTAGGATAGATTTCAGTTGTCCCAAGATGTGTAAAATTTAAGATCGTAGTGATCGAGGAAGCTTCATCTCGGGAGTCTGTTCCCCAAATCAACGACTCTTGGGAAGAAACTATCCGTATGCAACCCCCTTCTTACAAATCAAAGCTTGATTTGGGGGTCCCGGACAGTGTTTTGTAACCCCAGCGGTCTTATCAACATTTGCTTTTTTCGACCTGCATTTATATACGTTACAAACTGACTATTAAAAGAAAGAAACATTTACACGGATTTTGATTGGAGGTGTGGCTACCATCGGGCAGCACCTTTGGAAAGTGCCTGAAAACCATACCACTGGTTGATCCGAGACTTATGAGTGAAATGGGGTAGACAGAACCTTTAGGAACCATCTAGCTGTGCTAGCACGAAGTCACAAGTCATCGTGACTGAGGGTTTGAGCGTGCTGGCTCAATATTGTTTTATATTATCATATATCTAGATCCCGCTAGATAACGCAGTCTTTCCCAGAAACTGTAACTAAGGTCAGCATTTATAAATATTCACCAATACAAGGCCCAAGAGCCAATCAAGGTAGAGAGTTACTAAATGAGGTTGTTGTATTAACGTAGGAAGTAAAGATTATGGGGATAAGTAATAGTTGACCCTAGAGTTGACGAAGTTAACATTGGAGCGTTGGGGGAGTCATCAACTTGGGACTTGCGGTTCTCTCTTGAGTGACCCTGCCGCTCCTAAAAATAAGTCTACCGACTTCTGGAATGTAACGCGTAAGTGCCTTGACAAATAAATGCTGAAAAATATTGGTAAAATAAATGCTTTTATTCATCATTACATTACAAAGATTTTATTTATTTATTTTTTATTTTTCACCCCATAGACGACCCAAGAGCACCTCAATGTAGAATATGTGTCCTAGTTTTTGTTTACCGCAACGAACGAGATCATATTTCTCGGGGTTTCAAATTTTTTTTTTTTTCAAATCTGAAAGAAAAATAGAATAATTCAAATTAGAGTCCCATATTTTGATCTATTTTCTTTGTTCCTTGTTTGTTGCAAAAAGGCTTCATCCTTCACCTATGTTAATTAAAATATCGACGCGACGCATACGCAATTTAATTTAAGCCCTAAACGTCAATAATTATCTTTTGCAAAATCCCTGCGGGGTTAAACAAACAAAAAAAAGTATATTTGCGTCCATTTAGTTACCTTATTTTACGTAAATAACTTAACTACATTTCAAGATAAGCGAAAAAATTACCAACCGACTGTAGAAATATATATATATATATATATATATATATATATATATATATATATATATATATGTATATGTGGGTGTCTATATATATATATATATATATATATATATATATATATTTACCAGAGGTGTTGAAGAAGACGTGCCGGGAGATTTTTCAAGAAAGATGCAAACAAAAGACCGGGAAAAAATCCCTTTTCTAAACCAACGAATAGAAATAAAGCGAAGTTTGAGGAAAGTTCTTGAAAACGTTTACAATACCTTCGGCGACCAATAGTCAAATAAAGAAAGCAGACAGTGCGAAGTGACAGGTGGTGAAAGACATTTGCATTGTTGCTTATAATAATTTTATTTGACTTGTGGCCATGTTCTAAACAGGCACATGCAATCATTCGCACCATCAACCTCGCTTGCTCTCTTCACCCCATCCTCATTCCTTCTTTTACTATATATGTCTGTTCAAATTAAGTCAACTTTGTGCATCAATGGTGGGAAGAAATTCGTTATGTTTCAAGAAAAGAGTGCTGAACTGCTGTGTAATATCAATCCTAGTATATGGCAGTAATTCCTGGACAATTTTCACACAGAGGATTAAAAGACTTAAAGCAACAGAAACAAAGAAATGAGTACTAAACTATTACGTGATATCAGTCCTCCTCTATGGCTATAAATGCTGGACAATCTCCTCACAGATGAAGAAGAAGCAAGAGAAACAAAGAAAAGAGTACTGAACTGATACGTAATATCAGTCCTCCTATATGGCAGTGACTGCTGGACAATCTCCTCACAGATGAAGAAGAGACTTGAAGCAAGAGAAAGAAAGAAAAGAGTACTGAACTGTTACGTAATATCAGTCCTCCTATATGGCAGTGAACTCTGGACAATCTCCTCACAGATGAAGAAGAGACTTGAAGCAAGAGAAACAAAGAAAAGAGTACTGAACTGTTACGTAATATCAGTCCTCCTATATGGCAGTGAATGCTGGACAATCTCCTCACAGATGAAGAAGAGACTTGAAGCAACAGAAACAAAGACTTGAAGCAAGAGAAAAAAGAGTACTGAACTGTTACGTAATATCAGTCCTCCTATATGGCAGTGAATGCTGGACAATCTCCTCACAGATGAAGAAGAGACTGGAAGCAAGAGAAACAAAGAAAAGAGTAATGAACTGTTACGTAATATCAGTCCTCCTATATGGCAGTGAATACTGGACAATCTCCTCACAGATGAAGAAGAGACTTGAAGCAAGAGAAACAAAGAAAAGAGTACTGAACTGTTACGTAATATCAGTCCTCCTATATGGCAGTGAATGCTGGACAATCTCCTCACAGATGAAGAAGAGACTTGAAGCAAGAGAAACAAAGAAAAGAGTACTGAACTGTTACATAATATCAGTCCTCCTATATGGCAGTGAATGCTGGAAAA